GTGTAGGTGCCGTTTTCTCGTACCCTTGCCTTTTCGCATCAAGGGAGGCGAAATTTAGTTTTTTTTTTTTTTTTTTTTTTTTGTTTATTTTTTTTTGTTTTTTTTTTTTTTTTTTTTTTTTTTTTTTTTTTTTTTTTTTTCGGAGTTGTTTTAACTACTCTTAAACTGCCTGCGATAACACAGCTCTGCTGTTTCTCTGTGTAGACGGTTGATTAGTTTTTTTTTTTCTTTTGGACAGAAGTCTCGCTTGGTTGCCAGCCTAAGAGTGAGGTGCCATGCCGTCGAGCCTAGCTCCAGCAACCTCAAACTACCTGGGCTCGAGCGATCCTTCGTCTCAGCCTCACCGAGGTAGCCTGGCGACTAACAGCATGCCGCCACTTGGCCGGCTAATTTGTTTATATATAATCAGTTGGCCATTAGTTGTCAGTCTTATTCTATAGAGAGACGGGTCTCGCTCAGCTGCGCCTTAATCAAGTCTACACAGGTAATAAACAGCAGAGCTGTGATTAAAATCCAGGCAGTTTAAAGATATGTAAACAATCTAAATGTCCCTCCTTGGATGGAAGAAGGAAGAGTGGTATCTACATAAAAGTGGTACATACACAAAAAGGAATAACAGCCTTAAAAAAGGAGATTTTGCCATTTGCCACATAATGGATGAAAGGATGAAACTTGAGGACATCAGGCTAAGTGAAATAAACCAGATGCAGAAAAAAAATACTGCAAGATAACACTTATATGCGGACTCTAAAAAAGTCAGATACATGAAAGCAGAAAATAGAATAGTGGTTACCAGAGCCAAGGAGGTAGGGACTATGAGGCGATGTTGGTCAAAGGGTAAAAAGTTGCAGTTATGTAGGATGAATCAAGTCAGGAAATCTAATGAACATGATAACTGTAGTCAATAATACTGTATTGTACACTGGAAAATTGCCAAGAGGGTAGATTTCAGGTGTTATCACACACACACACACACACACACACAAAATGGTAGGTATGTGAGGAGATGCATATGTTAATTAGCTTGACTATAGTAAAACTTAAAATATACATACTTTTTATTAAAAAAAAAACAAGCGGTGTGGGTCCAAAGTCCTTTTTTTTTTTTTTTTTTTTTTAATTGAGACAGAGTCTTACTCTGTTGCCTGGGCTAGAGTGCCATGGCATCAGCCTAGCTCACAGTAACCTCAGACTCGTGGGCTCAAGAGATCCTCCTGCCTCAGCCTCCTGAGTAGCTGGAACTACAGGCATGCGCCACAATGCCCAGCTAATTGCTCAGGCTGGTTTCAAACTCCTGACTTTGAGCAATCCTCCTGCCTCGGCCTTACAGAGTGCTAGAATTACAGGCATGAGCCACCACAAAAAGTCCATTCTTTTAACCAATAAAAACAAAAAAATCCTAAAAACAAAAACATCCTATCTTAAATAATCACAGCTTATTCTATACTTGATTTCTTTATCCTTGAGCTCCTTTATATTAATATTTCTTTCCTTATCTTCATGTTGGAACCCTGTTTATATGGCTCTAAGATTTCAGGCAGGCATTTTAGAGAGAAGGTATAATAAAGTGACTATAGCACTTGTCAGAACATCAGACTGCCTCAGTAGAATTTAGCTCTACTATTTACTAGCCTTCTTTTTTTTTTTTAGACAGAGTCTCGGTTTGTTGCCCATGCTAGAGTGAGTGCCCTGGCGTCAGCCTAGCTCACAGCAACCTCAATCTCCTGGGCTCAAGCAATCCTGCTGTCTCAGCCTCCCAAGTAGCTGGGACTACAGTCATGTGCCACCATGTCCGGCTAATTTTTTCGGCTAATTTTATATATTAGTTGGCCAATTAGTTTCTTTCTATTTATAGTAGAGACGGGGTCTCTCTTGCTCAGGCTGGTTTCGAACTCCTGACCTCGAGCAATCCGCCTGCCTCAGCCTCCCAGAGTGCTAGGATTACAGGCGTGAGAAACTGGGCCCGGCCTATTTACTAGCTTTGTGATCTCAGGCAAGTTAGTTACTTCTGAGAGTTTCCTTATCTGTAAAATGGGAATAACAATGGCGCTTGCCTCATAGTCATTGTAAGAATTCAATAAGATTCTGCAAACAAATCTTTACTGGTGGCTGGAAACAGTGGCTCCTGCCTGTAATCCCAACACTTTGGGTGGCCAAGGTGGGAGGATTGCTTGAGCCCAGGAGTTCAACACCAGCCTGGGCAACACAGTGAGACCACATCTCTAAAATCAAAAATAAAAATAAATAAAAAACAACCCTCTAAACAAAAAATATCGACCCACAAAGCTAATTAATTAATTTAAAAAATCTATAGAGCTCCCTGAACTAATCCTTGAGAATGGCTACGCTAAGGATACTGAAAAAATTCTGGGAACTAGAGTTCACAAACTCTAGAATGTAGAACAGAAAAAAGAACTTTCAGATCTCTCTGTAGTCCAGTTCTCTCATTTTATAAATGAGGAATTGAGGCACAGATGGGATAGGGTTTATCATCTCACACATTAGTTAGCAGAGATGTGATAGCATTTAAGACTTCTGAGTCTTTGTATTATATTAAATATTATCCTCTTTTTTCAAAAATGGATTTAGAAAATTCCATTTTTTCCTTCTTTAAACTAAACAATAGCATAAATACATACGTTTTGTGGAGAAAAGGAGTTTATCTTTCCTGATGGAGAACTAAGTTTCAAAGTCTTTCCAGAAGAAACATTTGCATCCAAATGATGTCCTTCCTTTTCAAAACAATGACGTTTTCTAATCTGTAAACACAGAACAAATGAAGTTTAATGGAAACTAAAAGTTTGACAGGCTAGTTGTTCTCCAACATCAAAATAGCTCTACATTTTTTTGCATCCAAAAAAAAAAGACTATTTCTTTTTCTTTTATTTTTATTTTTTTGAGACAGAGTCTCGCTTTGTTGCCCAGGCTAGAGTGAGTGCCACGGGACTACAAGCTTGTGCCACCATGCCCGGCTAATTATTTCTATATATATTAGTTGGCCAATTAATTTCTTTCTATTTATAGTAGAGACGGGGGTCTCACTCTTGCTGAGGCTGGTTCCGAACTCCTGACCTAGAGCAATCCGCCCACCTCATCCTCCCAAAGTGCTAGGATTACAGGCGTGAACCACCACCCTCGGCCAAGACTATTTCTAAATGGCAATTATCAAATCATTTTTAAAAAACATAAACAGGGCCAGGTGTGGTGGCTCATGCCTATAATCCCAACACTTTGGGAGGCTGAGACAAGAGGATCCTTTAAGGCCAAGAGTTCAAGACAAGCCTGGAAAACACAGCAAGACCCTGTCTCTACAAAAAAGTTAACAAAAAAAATTTAGTCAGGCATGATGGCACACCTGTAGTCCCAGCTACTCAGGAGACTGAGGTGGGAGGATCACTTAAGCCCAGAAGTTCAAAGTTACAATAAGCCTGGGTGACAGAGTGAGACTCTTGTCTCCAAAAAAACAAACAAAGAAAAAACACAAATAGGCACCTCACTATCATTACAACACTTAAATGAAATAGAATATAGTAACAATTCATGAATCCTAACCAAAATAACTTTAATTAATGACATATCAAAATTATAGTATTGTAAAACAACCTTCCCATAAAGTAGTCCTACCGTATGGACATCACGTATAGTACTATAGCAAAGTCTGGTCATTAATTGGAAAACAAATCAAAATTTAACAATAATTCTACATTGAAAAGAACACAATAAAATTTTAAAAGGTAAATAGTCATGATTGCCTACAAGATAGGATAAATTATTTACTATTACTTATTAGTTAATAAATTAAGTTACCTTTGATTAAATTTATTTTATAAATGCCACTAAGTTTTCTTTCCAAACTATATCCATGCTTTTTCCCACTTGCCAAAGACCTATTTACTAAAGTCATAAGGGGAGAAAAAGCGTTTCTATTGATAATTTCATTGCTACCAAAACTGAAATGAGAACCATGAAGTCAGGGATAAATGTTTTATGTTGAGCCTACCTCATGACATGTAACTCTATGTACACACTGTAGGGGTGGGGGCAAGGGGTAGAATCTCTGTAGATTTCACTCTTCATTTGAAATAAATTAGTTTATTCTATCTAAAACCAAAGATTAATTATAGAAATTAATAAAGATTATAAGTCGAACAGTTAAACTACATAAGGATGCAAACAACTTGAGTATATGCAATTAAAAGTACCCAATGGCCAGGCACAGTGGTTCATGCCTATAATCCTAGCACTCTAGGAGGCCGAGGCGGGAGGATCACTCAAGGTCAGGAGTTTGAAATCAGCCTGAGCAAGAGCGAGACCCCATCTCTACTAAAAAAAAATAGAAAGAAATTAACTGGACAACTAAAAATATATAGAAAAAATTAGCCGGGCATGGTGGCGCATGCCTATAGTCCCAGCTACTTGGGAGGCTGAGGCAGGAGGATCGCTTGAGCCCAGGAGTTTGAGGTTGCTGCAAGCTAGGCTGATGCCATGGCACTCTAGCCTGGGCAACAGAGTGAGACTCTGTTAAAATGACTCAATTACTTACAAATAACATGCTAATTAATAATCATCTTTGTTATCTCTAACCAAATCTATTAAAATCCCAGCCTCCCTACCTCGCTGCCATGAATTCTGAGAAAACATTGTTTATCCATGAAAAGTACATCTCATTTAAAATTTATGGTAATTCAAGTTTTTTAGTAATTTTTAGAAATTTTTAGTAATTTTGAGAAATATATATTAGGTCATTAACTATGAAATGTCCAATTTCATTAATCACTCAGTTTGACAGTTAGTATCTCTGACATTTCACTTTGACACCTCTTGTTTTATTTTTATTGTGAAGGTACATCCTCAGTCTTTCTTTCAAACACATGGTTTGGCTTATAATTATCTTTCAAAATTTTTTTAGAGCACTTTTTGTAAGAACATGGGTAAGTCAAAATTTTGTGCTATTTTCAAATATGAGATCCCTCATGGAACCAATGCAGCACAGACAGCTCAAAGTATCAACAAAGTTTTGGGGAAGGATGTGGCTAATCAACTCATAGCATGTCGATGGTTTGAGAAGTTCCATTCTGGGGATTTTAAACCTGAAAATAGGCCACATGGGTGATCTGAGACCAAGGTGGATAATGATGAGCTGAAAGCTGTAGTGAAAGGGAATCTGTCTCAACCTACGTGTGAACTAGCAGCAAGGTTTGACATTCTTATTCTAACAACACTGGACCATTTGAAACAAATTGGCAAAGTAAAGAAGCTGCATAGATGGGTTCCACATGAATTAAACGAGTGTCAACAGAGAAATCATCTTGAAGCTTGCCTTTTTTTTTTTTTTGAGACAGTGTCACTTTGTTGCCCAAGCAAGAATGAGTGCCTTGGCATCAGCCTAGCTCACAGCAATCTCAAACTCCTGGGCTCAAGCAATCCTACTGCCTCAGCCTCCTGAGTAGCTGGGACAACAGGCATGTGCCACCATGCCCAGCTAATTTTTTCTATATATATTTTTAGTTGGTCAATTAATTTATTTCTATTTTTAGTAGAGACGGAGTCTCACTCTTGCTCAGGCTGGTTTTGAACTCCTGACCTCGAGCAATCCGTCCGCCTCGGCCTCCCAGAGTGCTAGAATTACACGAAGCTTTTCTTTCTTTGCTGTCACAAAATTTCTACACTGCATTGTTATGCGTGATGAAAATGGATTCTTTTTGACAATTGCAAGCATTCAGTACAATGATTGGATGAAGATGAAGTGCTGAAACACAGTCCAAAACTGAATATTCATCAAAAAAAAAGCTAATAGCGTCTGCTTGGTGATCCAGCGCTGGTATTATCCACTACTGCTTCATAAAACCTGCTCAATCAATTACAACAGATGTCCACTGCAACCAACTGGATGAAATGATGAGGATGTTTGCAATTAAGCAGCCAAGACTGGTCAACAGAGACAGGGCAATCCTCTTGCAAGACAACGTTCGACCACATGTTGCACAAACAACGCTGCTCAAACTACAGAAGCTGGACTTGGAAACACTCTGTCATCCACCATATTGTCCAGACCTTGCACCAACTCACTAGTACTTCTTCCAGGCTTTGGACCTGTACTTGGAAGGAAAAATACTCAATTCTCAACAAGCTGTGGAAAACGCCTTTCGCAATTTCATCACCACTCTCTCTCCACGCTTCTTCGCTGCTGATGTAAAAAAGCTACTGTTTAAGATGGCAAAACTGTGTCAACAGTTTAGGCGCATACTTTCATTAATTGTACTGTTTCTTGTTTGATATAATAGGCCACACTTTTGATTTGAAATTGGACATTTCATATTTAATAAACTAGTAACATGTATTGATCTTAAAAACTCAATAAATAGGCCGGGCGCTGTGGCTCACGCCTGTAATCCTAGCTCTTGGGAGGCCGAGGCGGGCGGATTGCTCAAGGTCAGGAGTTCAAAACCAGCCTGAGCAAGAGCGAGACCCCATCTCTACTATAAATAGAAAGAAATTAATTGGCCAACTAATATATATAGAAAAAATTAGCCGGGCATGGTGGCACATGCCTGTAGTCCCAGCTACTCGGGAGGCTGAGGCAGAAGGATCGCTTGAGCCTAAGAGATTGAGGTTGCTGTGAGCTAGGCTGACACTATGGCACTCTAGCCCAGGCAACAGAGTGAGACCCTGTCTCAAAAAAAAAAAAAGAAAGACAGAAAAAAATATATATATGTTATTAATAATCCTATGTTAGTTTTAATATATTTATCTTAAATTAAAATTATATTCTCATAAATATAACTGATTTTCATGTAAGATACTGGCCTCAGATCAAGAATGAATAAATGAGACTAATTAGATTGTTTCTAGGATACAATTATTAATACTATGTTTTATAAAATTGTAACATAAAATAACAATACTGTCTACAAATAACATCATTTGCTGCCAGGCACTGTTGCTCACACCTGTAATCCCAGCACTTTGGGAGGCCAAAGCAAGAGGATCGCTTGAGAACAGGAGTTTGAGACCAGCCTGGGCAACACAGTGAGACCCCATCCCTATAAAAAATAAAAATAAAAAATTAGCCAGGCACGATGGCATGCACCTGTAGACCAGCTACTGTGGAGGCTGAGATGGGAGGATCACTCAAGCCTAGGAGCTTGAGGCTGCAAAGAGCTAAGATCACACCATTGCCCTCCAACCTGGGTGACAGAGTGAGACCCTGTTTCTTAAAAATAAAATAAAATAATTCAGAGAAATTAAGTGGAGATACAAAATCAATTATGCTAATCAGATTTGTATAAATTAGGTCTGACGGTAATAATTAAGACTCCTATTATAAATATCAACAGACCCAACCAAATATAAATTACCTTTATAAGTTGATGAAGTGCCATTTCTTTCAGAAGGTGGTGTGCTTGAACTGTTGAAATGATGTGAAGTTCCTTGGTTCACATCATCATTTGTGAAATTCTTTGAATGGCATGGACAACAACATGACAATGGTACTTCAGCCATTTTACTCAAGCCCTCATCCACTGGCTTCCCTAAAAATGAAAGAACTTCTGCTTATAATTTATAATATATCTAATTTAAATAAACAGTAATCATTCTCTGTAGCTAGGGTGAATAATGATCGCAGTTCACCCAGAATTGGGAAGTTTCCCAGGATGCAGGATTTTTACACCTAAAACTAGGAAAGTACCTGCGAACCTGGATAAGCTGGTCACCCTATCTGCAGCATCAAATAAGGACACAAGGGAAATATTTGTGCCAGAAACATATATAGAGAAGTAATCATCAATTTATACTCTCTACAAAAATCTAATAATGAAAGATTAATAATACAGGCCGGTCGCGTGGCTCACGCCTGTAATCCTAGCACGCTGGGAGGCCGAGGCGGGCAAATTGCTCGAGGTCAGGAGTTGGAAACCAGCCTGAACAAGAGCGAGACCTGTCTCTACTATAAATAGAAAGAAATTAATTGGCCAACTAATATATATAGAAAAAATTAGCCGGGCATGGTGGCACATGCCTGTAGTCCCAACTACTCAGGAGGCTGAGGCAGTAGGATTGCTTGAGCCCAGGAGTTTGAGGTTGCTGTGAGCTAGGCTGACGCCACGGCACTCACTCTAGCCTGGGCAACAAAGCGAGACTCTGTCTCAAAAAAAAGAATAAACCAGGTCAGGCGCAGCTAGCACTTTGGGATGCCAAGGCTGGAGGTTAGTTCGAGACCAGCCTGGGCAAGAGTTGGACCCCGTCTTCACAAAAAATAGAAAAATAAGCCAGGCTTTGGTGGCATGTGCCTGTAGTCCCAGGTACTCAGGAGGATGAGGTAGAAGGAACACTTGAACCTAAGGATTTGAGGTTACAGCGAGTTTTGATGACCCTACTGCACTCTATCCCAGGCGACACAGTAAGACCTTATCTCAAAAAAAAGGGAAAAGAATAAACCTTATTGTTATACTAAAACCAAAAATATCCATAACATGAATTTTTGTATCAAAAGTTTTGGCCAGAAGAGAATGCCATTATTAGATTAAAAACAATGAAGGAATTATAAAGTACAAAGTAGCTATATCACCAAGATATGCCAAGAAAATATTTTACTGTCAAATTTCTCATATATAAGAAAGCACTATGCAGCTTCACTGTGACTAATCCACTATAATAACTCATCTATAACAAATATCTGTACAAAACAAAATTATAACACAAATTACCATTTAGTTTACAGCTGTGTTATGACCCAACTAATCTCCAAAAGTGCATTGAAAATTTGATTGATACTTGATTACCATGTTCAGCTATACTAACTGGATTATTTTATTGCCAATAAACTGTTTACCTGCTGTGTAGTTTCTAAGGGTCGAATTCTTTTCTTCTCTACTTGAAAATCATCATTTTCATCTTTGTATATGGATGCCTGTTTCTTGGCAGATAACTTTGCAGCCAGAGTGGTTTTTTCAGGGGAGTCTTATATAAGAAGTAATAAAAATTAACATAAATAACTTACACTTTGGCAATTTTTCTAGAAGAAAATTGGAACCAAGATGTAAGACATTTCTAAAAATTTCATCCCCACAGTTTAAAATGTAAAATGGTAAACATGTTTAAAAAGCACTTCTTTTCAACATGTGCATTGGAGAGGAAAAAAAAAAAAAAAAGAAAGAAAAAAGCAGCACTTCTTTACCACTCAGTTTACTTTATCAAAGACATAACAAACATATTGAGAAACCTGCTTTCAATAGGAAAAGTCCAACTTTGATTTTTTAATAGCTTTATGTGTTTGTAGACTACTCCCAATAACATGCCTTAAAAAATATAACTGTAAGATTCTCTCAAGATATTTTCATTTCTATAAAAATCTCTCTTTACGGTATCTCAATGTTCCTTTCCTACAAAACTTCTCCACATTTTTTTTTGTTTTTTGTTTTGAGACAGTCTCTCTCTCATTCTGTTGCTCAGGCTAGAGTGCCATGGCATCAGCCGAGCTCACAGCAACCTCAAACTCCTGGGCTCAAGAAATCCTCCTGTCTCAGCATCCCAAGTAGCTGGGACTACAGGCATGTGCCACCATGCTAGGCTAATTTTTTCTATATATTTTTAGTTGTCCAGATAATTTCTTTCTATTTTTTAGTAGAGACAGGGTCTCGCTCTTGCTCAGGCTGGTCTCAAACTCCTACGCTCAAACGCTCTGCCTGCCTCAGCCTCCCAGAGTGCTAGGATTACAGGCGTGAGCCATGGTACCCAGGCTTCTCCACGTTCTTTAGACTAAAATTACTGGCTATAGAATCAAGCTCATGTAATGTCTTTTAATTCCACAATCCTGAAAGCTCATTCTCAACATCATCAATGACCTCATAATCACCAAATAACATTAATTATCCCCATTTTACAAACGTGAACTCTAGGTTTTAAAAACATAACTTGCCCATTATCATATAGCTAGCAAGTTACAGAGGTTGGATGTGACTGAATTCTGCTGTCTGATGCCAAAGTCCATAAATATAACCTCTGGGCATGCAGCCAAACATAACACCCTGTCTTCTTGAAATACAGCAAACACATCTCCTTTTTCCTTAATGTCTAACACTGTTCTTAACTATTCCTATACATTGGTTTCTCCTGTTTCCTAAATGTGAATGTTCTTAAAGGTACTTTTCTTCTTTTTTCCTCCTCTCTACACATTCTTTCCACTCGCATGGTTGAATTCATTTAACAACCATTTATTACATTAGTCCATACAATGGCCTGATACCATGGAAAAACCATGAAAAAGAGTACAAGCCCTGGCCTTAAAGGATTTACAGACTATTTATGGGGAAGACTTATATGAGCAGATCCAATACTGTTTTCAAGAAATAAGTTTGAGTCTACATAAACACAGAAGTAAACCTATGCCACATAGCATTGGTTTTCAAGTTTTTTCTGAGGAGGACTATTTTTTGAAGAAACATTGCTCAAAATTTCCAAAATAGGGATTATAGCTCTAGAACTTCCCTGATACACTATCTCCTTCCCCTCACAAGCCATGTTTCTTCTTAAGTTTCTTAGGAACACAGTTTAAAAAACGTTATATTCTAAAATCTTAATACTTTTGCCTTTTATACCCAGGTCTTAAATCTACCTAGAATGTATTTTTATGTATGGTGTAAAATAGGGCTCTAATTTCAATTTTTTCCACATGGGTATTTAATAGCCCAGCATCACTTAAGTTCCTCCTTTCCCCTATGCTCTGTAGGAGAACTTCTTGAAAGAGACCAAGTTTCTGGATACATGCGGGACTGAATTTGGGTTCTCTATACTTTTACTTTGGTCTGTCATTCTGCCAATATCAGATTGTCTTAATTACTACAGCGTTATATAAAATAAATCAAGGTACCTTGTCGATCAAGTCTCTTACCTCGACCTGCTTCTTCAAACTGTCTTGGCTATTCTTAATTTTTTATATTTCCATATATATTAATATTTTATATAAGTCATGTAATTTTGAGCTGTGAATTTCCAGGCAAATCAGTAAAACAAGCACAAAACAAACCTAGATCAGTAATTTTCAACCGGAGCAATTTTGATACCACCACTTTTCATCCTGGGGACATTGGGCAATGTCTAGAGACATTTTTCATTGTTATAAAAGGAGGGGCAGGAGGTGGGTATACTACTGGCATCTAGTAGATAGAGGCCGGGATGCTGCTAAACGTCTCATAATGTATAGCTCCTACAACAAAGAACTATCCCACTCAAAATGTTAATAGTTCCACTGTTAAGAAACCCTTTCCCAAAGGGTAAATTTACATGGGCCCATTAAAAGGGTAGAAAATGTCTATCAAAAACAATGATTTATTTTTAAAAATAAAGCCATGTGCCAAATAAGGGTAATCCTAATTCATAAAAACAAAATTCATATTATCATACATATAAAAAGGCTTATCTTTTATCTTCCTGTTCTTCATATAGCATGATGGTTTGCAGGGAGCTCATGAAAAGGGTTAAGTCTTTAAAATACAAACTTAAAATGAAACAAGATGGCTCCCAAATATGCTTTTTAAAAACTCCTAGAAATCAGTAAGAAACAACCAACAGAAAAATGGTCAAACTTAATTAGGCAATTCACTAAAGATATTCAAATGATCCATAAACATATAAAAGGATGTTCAACTCACTAGTCACCAGAGAAATATCAATTAAAACTCAATGAGGAGGCCGGGCGCTGTGGCTCACGCCTGTAATCCTAGCTCTCTGGGAGGTCGAGGTGAGTGGATCACTCGAGGTCAGGAGTTCGAAACCAGCTTGAGCAAGAGCGAGATCCCATCTCTACTAAAAAAATAGAAAGAAATTGGCCAACTAAAAAATATATAGAAAAAATTAGCCGGGCATGGTGGAAGTGTGCTGTAGTCCCAGCTATCGGAGGCTGAGGCAGAAGGATCGCTTGAGCCTAAGAGTTTGAGGTTGCTGTGAGCTAGGCTGACACTATGGCACTCTAGCCCAGGCAACAGAGTGAGACCTGTCTCAAAAAAAAAAACAAAAACTCAATGAGAACACCACACATGCACCAGAACGCTAACATTTTTACAAACTAGAAATACCAAGTGCTAAAAAATGTTCAACAGTTTTCATTATATACTGCATGAAGGTTGGAGATTTAAGGGCAGGGACATATAGATTGGTCAACCACTTTGGAAAATGTTGGCAATATCTACTATAACTGAACATATGTATACACTATGACCAGCAATTCCATTCCTACATACCTAATAGAAAATACCTATTTGCACACATATGAACAAGAATTCAATAATAGAATTATTAAACAAAATGTAAACAACCTAAATGCCTAACAAATGTAGAATAGATTAATAAATTGTGTTATATTTATACAAGGAAACAAGAGACAGAAACAAGAAATACTACCATATGCAACAGCATATATGAACTTCACAAATACAATGTCAAGCAAAAGAAGATAGACAAAAGAGAACATATATAATTCCATTTCTATAAAGAAGCAAAATTCATCAATGGTAACAGAAGGGAGGACAACAGTTACCTATAGAAAGAATGGACAGTGAATGGAAAATAACATGTGAAGGGCCTCCAGGCTGTTGGTAATGTCTTTTTGTATCTGGGTGGTAATCACAAGAGTTTGTTCACTTTGCAAAAATTCATCAAGCTGGCCGGGCACGGTGGCTCACACCTGTAATCCTAGCACTCTGGGAGGCTGAGGCGGGCGGATTGCTCCAGGTCAGGAGTTTGAAACCAGCCTGAGCAACAGTGAGACCCCATCTCTACTATAAATAGAAAGAAATAATTGGCCAACTAATATATATAGAAAAATTAGCCGGGCATGGTGGCGCATGCCTGTAGTCCCAGCTACTCGGGAGGCTGAGGCAGTAGGATTGTAGGAGTTTGAGGTTGCTGTGAGCTAGGCTGACGCGATGGCACTCACTCTAGCCTGGGCAACAAAGCGAGACTCTGTCTCAAAAAAAAAAAAATTCATCAAGCTATTAGAATTTGCATTTTTCTGTATTTAGTTTATATCTTATTAAATAACTTACTTGCAAATATAAAGAGGGTATCAGAATACAACCCAGATTTACCCTGTTTAAACTATTTTAAATAACCTTGCCTCACAATAATGTTAAAAAGCAAGGCGTGTGGCCGGGCGTGGTGGCTCACACCTGTAATCCTAGCACCCTGGGAGGCCAACGCGGGGCGGATCACTCAAGGTCAGGAGTTCAAAACCAGCCTGAGCAAGAGCGAGACCCCATCTCTACTATAAATAGAAAGAAATTAATTGGCCACTAATATATATAGAAAAAATTAGCCGGGCATGGTGGCACATGCCTGTAGTCCCAGCTACTCGGGAGGCTGAGGCAGCAGGATTGCTTGAGCCCAGGAGTTTGAGGTTGCTGTGAGCTAGGCTGATGCCATGGCACTCACTCTAGCCTGGGCAACAAAGCGAGATTCTGTCTCAAAAAAAAAAAAGAAGACAGAAAAAAATATATATATGTTATTAATAATCCTATGTTAGTTTTAATATATTTATCTTAAATTAAAATTATATTCTCATAAATATAACTGATTTTCATGTAAGATACTGGCCTCAGATCAAGAATGAATAAATGAGACTAATTAGATTGTTTCTAGGATACAATTATTAATACTATGTTTTATAAAATTGTAACATAAATAACAATACTGTCTACAAATAACATCATTCTGCCAGGCACTGTTGCTCACACCTGTAATCCCAGCACTTTGGGAGGCCAAAGCAAGAGGATCGCTTGAGAACAGGAGTTTGAGACCAGCCTGGGCAACACAGTGAGACCCCATCCCTATAAAAAATAAAAATAAAAAATTAGCCAGGCACGATGGCATGCACCTGTAGACCAGCTACTGTGGAGGCTGAGATGGAGGATCACTCAAGCCTAGGAGCTTAGGCTGCAAAGAGCTAAGATCACACCATTGCCCTCCAACCTGGGTGACAGAGTGAGACCCTGTTTCTTAAAATAAATAAAATAATTCAGAGAAATTAAGTGGAGATACAAAATCAATTATGCTAATCAGATTTGTATAAATTAGGTCTGACGGTAATAATTAAGACTCCTATTATAAATATCAACAGACCCAAAAATATAAATTACCTTTATAAGTTGATGAAGTGCCATTTCTTTCAGAAGGTGGTGTGCTTGAACTGTTGAAATGATGTGAAGTTCCTTGGTTCACATCATCATTTGTGAAATTCTTTGAATGGCATGGACAACAACATGACAATGGTACTTCAGCCATTTTACTCAAGCCCTCATCCACTGGCTTCCCTAAAAATGAAAGAACTTTGCTTATAATTTATAATATATCTAATTTAAAAAACAGTATCATTCTCTGTAGCTAGGGTGAATAATGATCGCAGTTCACCCAGAATTGGGAAGTTTCCCAGGATGCAGATTTTTACACCTAAAACTGGAAAGTACCTGCGAACCTGGATAAGCTGGTCACCCTATCTGCAGCATCAAATAAGGACACAAGGGAAATATTTGTGCCAGAAACATATATAGAGAGAAGTATCATCAATTTATACTCTCTACAAAATCATAATGAAAGATTAATAATACAGGCCGGTCGCGTGGCTCAGCCTGTAATCCTAGCACGCTGGGAGGCCGAGGCGGGCAAATTGCTCGAGGTCAGGAGTTGGAAACCAGCCTGAACAAGAGCGAGACCTGTCTCTACTATAAATAGAAAGAAATTAATTGGCCAACTAATATATATAGAAAAATTAGCCGGCATGTGGCACATGCCTGTAGTCCCAACTACTCAGGAGGCTGAGGCAGTAGGATTGCTTGAGCCCAGCAGTTTGAGGTTGCTGTGAGCTAGGCTGACGCCATGGCATTCACTCTAGCCTGGGCAACAAAGCGACTGTGTCTCAAAAAAAAAAAAAAATACAAAAAAGTACAACCACTCAAGTATTCATTTATATTAAGACTTATTGCCGGGCATGGTGGCTCACGCCTGTAATCCCAGCTCTCTGGGAGGCTGAGGCGGGCGGATTGCTCGAGGTCAGGAGTTCAAAACCAGCCTGAGCAAGAGCGAGACTCCCGTCTCTACTATAATAGAAAGAATTAATTGGCAACTAATATATAGAAAAAATTAGCCAGGCATGGTGGCACATGCCTGTAACCCCAGCTAATCAGGAGGCTGAGGCAGAAGGATTGCTTGAGCCCAGGAGTTTGAGGTTGCTGTGAGCTAGGCTGACGCCATGGCACTCACTCTAGCCTAGGCAACAAAGCGAGACTCCGTCTCAAAAAAAAAAAAAAAGACTTATTTAAAAATCAAGCAGGAAGGATTGAAACAAAGACTTAAAAGTATATTCTAATTAATTACTGCTCTCCTAGGGTGGGGAACCTGTGGCCTCAAGGCCACTTGTGGCCCTCCAGATTCCCAAGTGCAGCCCCTCAACTGAATCCAAACTTCACAGAACAAATTCCTTTATTAAAAGGATTTTTTTTTTAAAACTTTAGATTCGATCAGAAGGCCATACTCAAGGATCCAGAAAACCACATGTGGCCCCAAGCCCACAGGTTCTCCATCATTTATCAATTCTGATACATGAGAAATCACTGGAAATCAAGAAGGTGGGGAGGTAGAGAAGGTTAAAAACCCTCCTAACAGGTACAATGAGACTATTCAGGTGATGGGCACACTAACAGCCTTGACTTAAGCATTATAAAAGCTATCCATGTAGCAAAAGCATTTGTATTCCCCTAATATTTTGAAATGAAAAAGACTATGCTTAAATAAAAATAAAAAAATAAAACCAGACATAAAAAAATTCTGATACATGTACTGAAATACATTGAAGGTATTTAATTCAATAAATATTTAATAATAATTCAATAAATATTTAGTATATTTAAATTCAATAAAACAATTTTGATACCCAAATATAATACATAATTGTAATAGGTCTACATTGTGTGGCTACACTGTGTACAAATATACAATGCATAGACCAAAAAATGGAATAATTTACTTTTTAAAATAAACAGTACTGACACTGTTTTCCCATTTGTACTACATAAATACTAATTCTATTTTCCAGACATCTGCCATTAGAATTTTATTAACTGGTGATCTCCTTTTCCCCCAAAGATTAACATCAGTAAAATCAAAATGGATAATCAAAAGCTTATAATGTGTGTGTGTGTGTGTATATATGTACATACACATGCACAAACATACACAGCATGGTTCATTTCAAATTCTCTAATACTTTAGGTTAAAGCCATTTAATCATGTAACTAAAATGTATTGATTATTAATATATTTCAGATTCAATTTATAGATTATATAGTCTTTCACAAAAGTAAATACTAATATCTATTTGTTAGCAAATAAAAGCAATGGGAGATAAAATGAATTCATACAAATATTATAATAAATTTTTGTTTATCTGGCATCCAAACAAATGTAAAGATCAACTAGAATGTCTTCTTTTTATATATTCTATGTTCTACTGTTATGAGGAAGGAACAAGTATACAAATATTAATATATGAAGGAATTTACTTAAAAAAAGCAATTGGTATATAACATCATGACAGCCCCATCTTTTTACATATAAATTATCATCTAATTATTCTCATAATGATAACTTTAAGCATGCTTTCTGAATCATCAAATAAAAGACTAAATTATATTCAATATTGTTCCAGGATTATTTAAACATATTTTGCTATACTAAACTCTTTCGGAAAATATATAACTTGTTATAAAGAAACACCTTAAAAGAGAATATTTAAATTAGCTAGAACATTGTTGAACCAGTTCTGGATAAAAGGAACTTTATGCTTTATTCAGGTCCCAACAAGCAACCTGAAGATATCAAGCAACTACTTACCACTAAGAGATTGTTGCCATGCTAAAGCAGAACAAAGTAAGGCTAAGCTTTTTCCACTTCCTGTGGGACTCTCCAACAAACAGTGTTGCTTACTGTTTAATCCTCTGACAATCTATAGACGCAGAAATGAATTAAAAAAAATCAATAAACATTTTACTTTATCAGGGCCTCTCTTCACCAGAAGTATACATAGAATAGCAGGGAGAAGTGAGGTTGCACTCCAAGGAACACAGCAATAGCAGAGGGAAGTTTTAGTTTTTTTTTGTTTTTTTGGTTTTTTTTTTGAGACAGTGTCTCGCTCTGTTGCTTGGGCTACAGTGTCATGGCATCAGCCTAGCCTAGTTTATAGCAACTTCAAACCCCTGGGCTCAAGCAATCCTCCTGCCTCAGCCTCCAGAGTAGCTGGGACTACAGGCACTTGCTACCATGCCTGGCTAATTTTTTCTACTTTTAGTAGACAGGAGGTCTCAGCTCTTACTCAAGCGGGTCTGGAACTCTTGACTTCCAGTGATTCTCCCTCCTGACTTCCAGTGATTCTCCCTCCTCAGCCTCCCAGAATGGAAGTTTGTATTTCATTAAATCTAGACTTTATTCCTTTATACCTCTCCCTAAGATTATGATGGATTTTCAAGCTTATCAAGCACAAAAGAAGAAATAAAGAAAGCAATTTGTGCCTTATACAAGCACCAATCATTTCTGTAAAATGAGAATACACTAATACCTAGTTTTTGATGAAAACTTAATAGGGGATATTGCTAGTGGGAATACAAATTGTTATACTCACTTTGTACAGAAATTAACTACCCCTAATAAAGTTGAAGATGCCCAACTCCAGCAACTCCAGTTCTATATATATATATATATATAAAACCAAACCTTTCTCACATGAACACAAGAAAACATGTACAAGAAATTTCATAGCAGTATTATTTGTAATTGCAAAAGAATGCAAACAATCTGTCTCCCAATAGAAGAATGGACAGATAAATTCTGGCATATTCATACAATTGAAGATTGTATTTTTTTTTTTAGTATTTTTTTTAGTATTTTTTTACAGCAATTAAAATGGATTAACAATCAACAGGGCTACATTAAAAATGTCAAGCAAAACAATAAAGTTCTGCAGAAAAATAGGTATATTATCACATCAATGCACAAAATTTAAAAATACGTAAAATAATACACCACAGTTTATGGATACGTATGTATATAATAAAAGTTAAAAAAAAAAATGGCCAGGAAAAGAAAGGAACAGATTACAGATACTAATAATTTTGTTACCAGTAAAAAAGATATGAAGTAAATATGGTAAAATATTAAGATTTAACAAAGCTGGAAAATGGGTTTGCTCAAATTTGTATACTAATTTCTACATAACTCAAATACTACAAAGAAATTAAAGGTGAAAAATGCAGTATTTTGTGAAAGAAAATCATAAATACTTCATAGAAAACAGTAATTCATTAAAGTCAATAGAAGTTCCAAAAGAGCTAAGAACATTTTTCAGAATGTTATTCCTTGTCTCCTAACCATGGACATACATGGTCTGGTAGAGATCAGTATTATTTTCCCAAAGGTTACATGTTCTTCCAAATGAACCCAGCAAATATTCTCAATCCATTCGCTATTTGAGAATATGAATGTAGTCACCGACCCAATGTTTGTTATGGATCATAAGTATCTGTATTGTTAATACAGACTTAACTGGGGAAAAATACTTACAGAATTCATCATAGCAAGCTGTGATGGGTAAGCTTTATAAGGAAAATTAATCTTCACACCACCAATTGTATATTCAGACCACATTGAAGACATTGTGCTTTCTTACTTATTTCTGATTCCTAACTGCAACAGAAATGAAAATATTGAAACAACGCCATTCAAAGAAAACCACAGACCCAAAACTAGGACATAAGTCTGGAAATAAAAATTGGAATTATCTCACTCGAGGGGGGAGGGAGGGCAAGGGCAATATACATAACCTTAACATTTGTACCCCCACAATATGCTGGAAAAAAATAAAATAAAATTGGAATTAACAAATGCATAAACCAAACAGAAGTAATTTCTTAGTCTTATAAATCAGCAGTCAAAGCATGTCTTAGAGTCTAATAAATGTGGATTTGCATCCCTGCTCTGCCATATATTAGTTGGTGACTTTGGGCAAATTACTTAACTTCTCTAGATCTCAGTGTCCTCATCCATAAAATAAGGATACTAATAACATCTACCCCATAGGATTGTTGTAAAGATTAAATGAAATAATGTGCAAATAATGTGCAAATAATGCCGATTAAACATAAGCTCTTGTAACAATTAGATCAGATGTAGTCCACTCATAGAAACAAATAGGTTCCTAAGGCAACTCCCTACAACTTCACAGTGCAACTCTTTTTCTCCACCTATTTTGCACCTTTCTGTTTCTCCTTTCTGCAGTCTTCCAGTTAGAAGGATCCTATGCTTTCTGACCAGGAGTCAGAAAGCATAGGATCTAGACCTGGTTTTCACAGGAACTTAGATATGTTACCGTTGATGTGTCTTTTTACTTCTCTAGTCTAAGATTCCCATCTGTAACAATCCCTAATTTCAAGACTGTTGTAAGAAAGAAAATGCCTTGGCAAATATTAGGTGTTCAATAATTTTATTTCAAGGTCAATAGAGTATAATGGAAAGAGGATTGGTTTGGAATAAGGCAAACTAAGTTTGAATGCCACTGTGTGAATCACCTAACTTCTCAGAACTTGATACTTTATCTATGGAATTGAGATAATACTACTTACCTGATAGTTTTTATGAAAATTAGCCAGAGCAGAATGTGCCTAACCCAGTATTTGACACAGAGGAGGTGATCCATTTTAATCCCCCTCTTCTAAACCACTTTTCTTAACCTAGGATTTGGGATCCATAGATGCGATTCAGAGACAGTAACTTCTTGAAATTGCCTGAGAAGTTTCTGTACCTCATTGCACTTTTCTGAAGAGAAAGTCTGAAGATTTCTCTTCCTATAAAAATATCCTGATATACATTATCAAATGGGTAATTATTTGCAATAGTCTAAAAAAATGGTATATCCAACTTGGGGATGATGAGATAGTTAAAATAGCAATTCAATAGATTATGGACCCAATAATAACATTACCCACAGCTTGCGTGTTCCACAAGAAGTTAAGAACCTAAGGGAAGTTAAAATCTAAGGGATTTTCCAGTTCTAAGATTTTGCGGTTCTACCTGGCAAAGGGCTGAGAATGAGGTTCAGCGGAATCCAATCTAAATCAACTCAACGCTGGCCTAGTTAATCAGATACAACCTAGAAATCAATCCGTCCCCTATCCCAGCTTCGGCAACAACCGTCTCAAAATGAGGTAGTTTCCCCCCTAAACATTGCATAAAGGACAAACAAACCAACCCGCCTCCCGCCAAGAGGTAACGACTGGTACTAACAGCCCTCTGCTCAAAGGAGGCTCCCTCCTCCCCAGGTTTTCCTCCGCAATTTCCCTCCTCCCACAGCCAGTTGAGATTCCCGAGGCCCAGGTGACCCAATGAACACCCATGGGCCTGGGAGACGACTGGGGCGAAGGCAGAAGTACCTCGCTGGTAGGCTTCAAGCCCTTCCCCTCCACTTCCCTCAGACTTGCCTATCCTGAGGGAAACCGAAGCAACGCTTACCGGGCTCCGATACACCGGAGAAAAGGAAACCGATTTCTGAGAGCAAATAAAGCGGAGCCCTGGAAGAAAGGACACAAGCCTTAATCCTCTGTGCCTTCCTCACTGAGCTGCTACTCCCCCGGCCTGCATTGGGGGCTCGCAGCCACTGTACCTTTCCTCCGCGCTAGTTCTCATCAGCGGTTTCTGTAACACAGCCCGGGACAAATTCCCGCCTCCCACCCCTCTGGCTCCCAGCACCCAATCGCCGAGCGAGGTCAGACAACCAATCACCCGCCAAGACTAGAAATCAACCAATCCCGGCGCGAGGTTAGAGGGCGAGCACTCTGGCACCCAATGGGAACCTCCGAAATAAGAACAGACGCAAGGTACTTGGCGCCACCGGAAGGCAATCACCAGAAGTGTAAACTACTTCAGCAAATCACGGGGATTTGTTAAAGGAAAAGTGTCTTCTCCGTTTGACTTTTGAAACCATCATTTAACCCACGCAACAAATACCTTGGAAACTCGAAGCCTCATTCTTAAGGTCTCTATACCAGCGGAGAAGAAACAAGTTCTTTGAGCATTCATCAGTGCCACTCAATTGGAATTTCCCAACTTTACAGCAAAGACTCAGGCGGGAATTGCCAGGCTATTGAGCCAAAATAGACGAAAAGGTTCCGCGACAAATATCTACAATATTTCATAATTTCAAGGCTTTCCCAAGAAACTAAAATAAGCCAGAGATATGCTCTCAAGGTCTCCAGCACGGCATCACCTCTCCCTTCGTTAAGGCTTCTCTGCCTTCCATCCCGCCTGAGTCTTGTTTGCCAAGAAATACACTTCAATTTCCTCAAAGATAAGTAGTTACGATCTTGCCAAATTATGTTATTTTGAAAAAGTTCTGTATAGCCTAAACTTGGCTCAAATAGGAGTGTTCCAGAAAGGCAAAACCTGAGACTATTTCCCAAATTCAGATAACTTGTTTGGGGAAGGTTTGCTGGGTGGGAGGAGAGAGCAGGCTACTTGATTCACTCTCAGCTGTTTTACTACATCTTCCAAGTGACAAAATGTTAGTCATAAAAATAAACTCTACCCTTTGACCTTATAGTCCCAGTCCCAGAAGTTTATCCTAAAGGCATAATCTAAAAGAAAAAGTGATACCTCAAAGAAAAAATGATACAGTACCTATTTGTAATACTAAAAAAATCATGCATTTCCCAATCTAACAATGTAGAAGTGGTTATATCAATTCAGGCTGCACATAGTTGCTTATGCCTGTAATCTCAGCACTTTGGGAAGTCAACGTGGGAGGATTGCTGAACCCAAGAGTTCAAGACCAACCTGGGCCAAATAGGAAGACCCATCTCCACAAAAAAATTAAAAATTAGCCAGGTATAGTCACACAGGCTTGTAGCACTAACTACTCAGGAGCCTGAGGTGGGAGGATCCCTTGAGTCCAGGAGATCAAGGCTGCAATGAGCTATAATTGCACACACACTGCACTCCAGCCTGGACAATAGAGCAAGACCTTGTCTTAGAAAAAAAAAGAAGAAAGAAATTCAGGCAGGGCACTGTAGCTCACGCCTGTAATCCTACCACTCTGGGAGACCAGGTGGGAGGATCCTTTGAGCTCAGGAGTTCGAGGTCAGCCTGAGCAGGAGTGAGACGCCGTCTCTACTTAAAAAATAGAAGGAAATTAGCTGGACAACTAAAAATATATAGAAAAAATTAGCCAGGCATGTGGTGCATGCCTGTAGTCCCAGATACTCAGGAGGCTGAGACAGTAGGATTGCTCAAGCCCAGGAGTTTGAGGTTGCCGTGAGCTAGGCAGATTCCAAGGCACTCTAGCCTGGGCAGCAGAGTGAGACTCTGTCTCAAGAAAAAAGAATTCAGTAATATGAAAATATATATGATAGAAAATATGAGGGAGTAATTTACTGTTAATTGGCTCTAACTTTGTATTGACATTAAATGTATGTGGCAGAGAGAAAAGGTACACATAGGCCATGGAGCCAGATAGTTCTGGCATCCAATCCTTGAACTGTCCCTTTCAGGTTAATAGTAGTGGAATGAACACAAAAAACTACAAGTTCATTTGATAAAATATGAATGTTTATAAACAAATTCAAAATAGCTGCACACATCTGTTTTCACTTGAATAAAAAAATCACATTGTGACAAATTTTATAACCTTAACTTAAAATACATGAATATTAACATTTACTAATATATTTACACATTTTTTACATTATCAACAAATCTGATGAAAAACAGCATATGTTATATTTTAACACATCAGGTTCTGACCAGTCTTTGAAAATCAATCCAGGAATGTGCACTGCATTTAGCTAGAAAACATTCTTCAACTTTTCCTGAACCCTTAGAGGATCCCTATTCACACAAATATTCCAAGGCTCAGTTAAAAGAAACAGAACAAAACTGGATTTGTATTTAATCTTAAGAGACTTACAAAACTGCCTTGTTTAAAAATATGAAATTCTTATGTTATTTTTTAAGCATATGCTTTTTTTTTCACATCAAAATTACTTAATTGAACATTAAGCATCTAATAAAAAGTTATAAATATTCTATCACATATGATACTATGCACTTCATGATTTGAAACAGCTACAAACTAGTTCTTACAGAATACCTTTATGAGGTAGGCCAGTAGTAACCCATTTACAGAGAAGGAAAATGAGATGTGACTATTTGCTAGTGAAAAGGCTGAAGTTAAATTTCTTAAAAACCACACTTTTTAGCCTATCTAACTTCTTTTACAAGTGAAGAGGTCTATTTTGAGTAGGGGGAAAAAGTGTGTGATTGAGGTATATCTCAGAGGATAAAGAGAAGTACCTTCTACATGGATACTTAATTTAAAAAAGGATTATGGGTTACCTGAATGCATCTGCCTAATCAATGGAAGTTACTAACAGAGGACTGAAATCCTTCAGCAAGACAGTATTTTCCTATTTTTAATTTTTCCTGAGGTTCAAACACTGTATATATTTTCTTACTCAAAGAACTTCTCAAAGTTAGATATGAATTATGATCCTGATGACAAACTAAGAGCTCTTTAATCCAGTGATTTTATTGCTCTAAACATCATTTAATTTGATACCTATTCCCCCTCTGAGCATCAGATAAGTTAATAAAGCATTATAAAAATAAATTTAAAACAAAAAACTAAATGAACTCCTTTCAGGTTCTTCTTTGCAGAAAGATGTTTCTGTAAACACTTTTAACCATTATCTTAAAATTCAAATTATTCAAGTATTCTTTAAACATATGGCTTCATATATTAGTAAAAATTGAAGCAAATATGTGAAATCTTTAAATCCTTATCTGTTTCCATGGAAACAATTATAAAGCTACCTGCCTTTTTAAAGCCTTCTAATATTGTTTCTTGAGAACTAGAATTCCACCTTGCATTATTATTACTTATACTGCGAGTCTGAGATTTTATTTAGATATTTAACTCCTAATTTTCTCAGTTCTCCTTTCTCTTGATACTTTTTCCCTCCTCATAATTGCATCTTTTTTGAACTCTGTTACAAGCTCACAATTAAAATAAACACTACTAAGGCACCCATAGATCATCTGTATAAGAATGAAAGCATGGCAGTCTTTCTTCATCCAAAAGCTAAATACAACGGCCAAATTCCTTTCAGTAATGAGTCTCTTAATGTGTTTCAATGGAAACAATCTCGACAGCTACATATAAACATACCAGCAAAGTAGACTCAAAGGTGTGCCAATACAAGAAGCATAATCCTCAGAGTTCTACACTGTATTCATATTGAACTGAATTGTTTTAATGATCCAAGATATTACTGTTCCCATTTCAGTTTGAGTTGTTACAAGATGCAGATGCATGTTGAGTATTATGCAGCAAACAGCCTCATTTTTTTTGTTTAAATTTTTTAATTCCACTAACACTCATGTTTAATTATTTCAACTACTGGTGCTTTCAATACAATGACAGAGCTGTACATCAGGATCCATACTTCCAGTGTCCTGGATCCATTTTTATAAGACAGATCTTTACAGATTTGAGACCATCACTTGGTTTTCTCTTTATTTGTTGAAGACCTAAAACATAAGGAAAGAAATAAAACCAAAAATCTAGAAGGAATTTGGCCTTTTGTAAAATATTAAGATAACTCTTGAAATGAGTTACACTTACGTGTAATAATTGATCAATGTCTTTGTCTGAGTGGCAACATCAGACGCAACAACTTGTCCTATTTGGATCAGCAAAGACATAATATCCTCAATATAGTGGAGGAATGCTCGACAAAAAGACCAAACATGGCAGAGTTGGCATGAAAAAAGCATACCGCTTAGCCTGTGTTAAACTGTTGGAAGAGAATAAAACAGATTTTTTACTTTACTTTTTACTTTTTTTAGATATAAATTCAAATTCAACATACACAGCCAATATAACATACTGCTGTGCTAGAGAGACTAAGTTTTCTAGACATGCCAGCCCCTACCTTCAGAGAGCTCACAATCTAGCAGTCTCAGTCATTATCGAGATATAAATTGTATTACAGCCCAGCACTGTGATAAGTCATTACATGCTTATTTTCATTTAATTCTCCAATCTTATAAATGAAGAAGTACTATCATGACAGTTGAAATAACTCTTAAATAAGCCTTAGAAGGTTAAGAAACTTGTTAAAGGTCACACAGCCCAGTTAGTGGTAAAGTTGGGATTGAATTCAGACAGTGTAATTTCTTAGTCACTACAAATAATTGTAACATGAGGTGAATACAATGTAAAGAAAATACAGCTATTATGTAACACTGGAAAAATACTAAATTAATAACCATAACTTTAAAGATTGATTATATTTCTATATATACTATTTTGTTTTTGAGACATAGCTCACTTTGTTGCCCAGGCTAGAGTGAGTGCATGGCGTCAGCCTAGCTCACAGCAACCTCCAACTCTGGCTCAAGCTTCTCGTGCCTCAGCTCGATTAGCTGGGGATACAGGCATGCATCACCATGCTGGCTAATTTTTTCTATATATTTTTGTGTCCAATTAATTTCTTTCTATTTTTAGTGAGAGTGTCTCACTCGTGGCTCACACTCCTGACCTCAAGTGATCCTCCTGCCTTGCCTCCCAGACTGCTAAGATTACAGGAGTGAGATACCATGCTGGCTAGTTCTATATTTTAAAGTTTTATACTTTACTCATAAACAAGAAGGTAGTTAAAATCATAGG